GCATAGTATTTTAAAAGAAGTTATTTTGTAAGATAATGGAAATTTCGCGTGAAAATTTTCGGGCAATGATTTTTTACGATTACAAATGTCATCTAACTCCGAAACAATGCATCGATTGACTTCATTTGGCTTTTGGGAATGAAGCACCATCCAGTAGGACTGTTTATAATTGGTTTGCCGAATTCCAGCCTGGACGTACCTTTCTTAGTGATGAATTCCGTGAAGGTCGTTCATCCACGTCTGTTGTTGCCACTAATGTTGATGCTGTGCGTGAAATGATTGAGCGAGACCGGCATATAACATACCGCGAGATTCAGGCATCCTTAAGCATTAACATGAAAGCAATACATATGATTTTGCATGATCACTTGAGCATACGGAAACTTTGCAGTCGTTGGATCCCACACAATTTGACCGAAGCTCAAAAACAGGCTCGTGTTAAATGAACAAAGAAATGCTCAAGAAATTCAACCAAGATCGGTCAAATTTGGTCTACAACATCGTTACTGGGGACGAAATATGGATCTATTCGTATGAGCCCGAAAGTAAACAACAATCTACTGTTTGGGTATTTCAAAATGAACCGAACCAACAAAAGTTGTTCTCAATCAAATCAAGTTGACTGCCGCTCAATCTGCTATGAGATCACGAGGCGGACACTATTAGAAATTATGCTACAATTTTAAAAAATCGTCCACATAAGTGAATATTTTTATTCTTAAAATTTTTTATTCTTAAAGTTTCTACAATCGTATATTTGTCGAAAATATTTGATTTCCATTTAGATAGTAAGTGTAGTTCTTACTTAATAAAATCCAATAGATTTTTTTTTGTTTATCTGTCTTTGTTATCGTATAATGTTAATGTTTTTAAAAAATGAACGGATGAAGCTAGTAAGCTAAGCATAACACGGGACTATATGACTAATTTAGTGACAATTCAGATAGTACTTACTCTTAAACTTCTTGGAATGAAATCTCACTATAAAAGAGTGAAAATACAGTCAGTTTTAAAAAAGAGTGAAAATGTTTCTTCTTGAAAAAGAATGGCAATATTTCATTCCTCTAAAAAGATTTATCTCAGTGGTAAATGTTATAAGTTTGGTTTCCTCACATCCAATCTCGATAAAACTAGACTCATTCGACGTGTTTTTGCTCGAAACAAATGAATTTAGCAAAAAGAAGCATTGTTTTGCCTTGCGAATCGAAACATTAATCGTTAAAGTTTATTAGGTTACAAAATATCATTCGCTACGATCTGGTAAAGACGTTGGTAGAAAACGATAGAAAAATCCTATCGTTTTGAATATCGTTTGTAAATTCACTAATTTGAATCAGATCTTATAGGAATCTTGTATAAATCTTATAAAATCTGATAAATATGATAGGATTTATATCCGATTAACGATGCTCTCGCGAGGTCAACAATAGAAAATGATACAAACTTACAGAAAAACAATACAAATTGATAAAAATCCTATCGTTCTTAATTGTTCTATCAACTTTTTTTTCCAGGACGATCTCATTCTGTTCCATACATAGCTGTCCATACATAGCTGGTATTATCACTCTCTTTGAAATTTCAATCAAAACAATTTAGGCAGTATTCTTTTTTATTTTAAATGCATCTATAATGCAATAATTTTTATAGTTTTAATGAATTTTAATAATAATATTAAAATTTTAATAATAATAAAAATATGCAATAATAGTTAAATTACATGTATAAGAAATTTTTCATGCGTGAATATGTCTAAATATGTATAAACATACATAGTATAATAAATTATACTATATGTTTATGATCATTTATATATAAACATGTATAAATATATTCATAAACATATATAATTGTATATGAAATATATCCATATATGTTTATGTATCCTTCTTTCTTTTGTAAAATTACTTTTAAGTGTAATAAAAGTAGTAATAATGTGAAAATATTAAGAATAATTAAAAAGATAATTTTGTGAACATGTATAGACACATTCTAAATAAAGGGTAACTTAATATGTTTGTTATAATTGTAATTCGGATAACGATTCGGATTAGGTAAATTATTATTTATCTAATAACAAGATACAAAGTTATACTTTTTTTATTTTATAAATATGTTTGTGTAAAATACATTTTTAAATAAAAGTTTTATAAACATGTTTATGTTTAAAATACATTTTTATGAAAGCTTTGTTGATATATAAAGATTAAATATACATTAACCTTTATTTTAATAATGTTAATCAAATTACCCCATACCATTAGTCATCTTACCCCGGTCTGGGGACTAGTTCAATCAAATGGAACGCATTAGAAAAATGCATTTTTTCGTATCAATTATCAGTTTTCTCTCATTATAAAAATATTATTAGATAGTCAAATGTATGTAGTAACTGGTGTAGAATTTATTTTTTCATAAGTTTCTTAATTTCGTCTGAAAAATTCGAAAATAAAAAATGAGTCTACTATCCCCGGTCTCCCCTACGTAAAATTTTTGTGATATTAAAAATTTTTTTGTTATTAACGTTAGATAGAAATTTTTGGTAGAAAATTTTATTTTTCTCTCAAATATTTATCATTTTTACAAAAATAAATATTTTGAAATAATCCTATGTACTTCTCTAGCTTTAAGTATGTAGATTATAAAATTATTTTTATTTCAGATCAAAAGGTGTAGAAAATTCCGTGTACATCGTGTATGCACTTGCTAAAAAAGGAGGCTCAATGCTGCTGATATAGTGCCACCATTTTATGCAAAAAAATTCAAAAAACATTTTTTTGTTCTCTCGAAAGTTTACATAGTAAAGCCTTTAAAAACAATTTTTGATTGATTTTATTAGTTTATTGCAAAAAATTGACAAAGTTAAATATCATTTTTAAGTTTCAAGGAATTTTCTCTTTAAAAGATTATTAAAATTGATATTATTTTCTGATTTTATGTTGAATTGTAGAAGAAAATTCAAAAAGAAAGTTAATGTTCATTTTATTCAATTATTAATCCTCAACTACATACATACCAGAAATTCATTTTTTTTACACGATTGAATCTTTTGAACTCAAAACCTTTTCGATCCATTTTTCAAATTTCAATAAATTTAAATTAATTTTTTTTTTAATTTAAATGTCGAATTGTAAAGAATCCATATCTGTAAATCAAAAAAAAATATCAAATTAATATTAAAAGTTATGACTTAAAATGTGAGAAACAGTTTTTTAGAAAAATGCGTAAAAGTGTTCCGTTTTAAAAATAATCATATATTTACAAAAAAAAAAGAAAAAATAAAAACAAGTACTGGTTTAGAAAAAAGAAAGCATAAATTCAAAAAAAAGTATTTCATAATTGTTAGTTGCAAAAAGTATTATTCCCAGAGAACACGCATGTTAAAGATATCCGAAAGATTCCATATTGAACAGAAGATTAAAGCAATATTGCTGCAATGTTGCAATATTACAGATTGCAATGTAACATTGCAGAG